TTCCTCTCCCCACTTTAAGGGAGTCCAGGCTGCCCTTTGCAAAGATGGAAGTCATTACTAGGAGGTCTTCAGCTAAGCTCACAAGGAGCAGGGAGGTCTAAAGGGGGTGGCAGATGGACATCAGTATCCCTATTAATTGGGAAGTCCCAGTGCTTTGATCCTGCGAGAGCTGAATGTAGTATAAGATCTTTTATGTACAAGTTCTGTGCTGTATCTAGCAGATGATGAGGTGCAGCTACCAGTGAGGAGTTGTGTGCTCCAGCTGCATTCGCTAGTATCAAAAGTGAACAAAATAAGATGTATTAAAACGTTTTACCTTTGGTCAAAGCCACTGGGCCAAAGTAGTTGGTTTCCATTACTTTCCGATCCACCTCCACGGCCGTGTCCACAATGGTTCCCCGGTAACTGATCCCAGCGTTGTTGATCAAGACGTCCACGTGGGCCACACACTTCAAAATCTCTTCAGCACCACGGACCACCGCTTTGATGTCTGAGAGATCAAAGATGACTGTGTGATGCTTATGGGGCTGTTAAGGCAGAAGAGGTGGAAGAACAGTCATTAGTTGTATCTGATGGTTCAGCCACAGGCTTAAGCTTGCAGCCCTTGTCCCCCCCTGTACAGTAGGACTGTGGTATCTGTGCGGTACCGGTTCCAAGCCTCCCTCCCTGCAGATGTCAAAAAAAAAAATCTGGAAATCGGGAACACTATACATAGTACGGTCTCTGGCTCCCTCTAATGGTAAGTTCTGGTAAATACACCATGGATATTTTTATTTAATATTTTCAGACAGTGGGTAAGTGAATCTGTGGATACAGTATACTGATTTCTGTTTTTGATCCTCTTCTGTATTTCATAAACCTTAACAGAGAGCTGTGTAGAAACTAAGAATCCTGATGTTCAGAGTTGAGGGCCCTTATATGTTTTTATATGACTCCCAGGCAATCCCCTCTTAAAGGGATTCTCAACAAGATAAAATGGGGGAACTACTCACATCCCACTCTGGGCAAGAAGGTTATGAGGATCAGGCATGCAGCAGAGAAAAAGTTGTTTTGCTTCCTCCTCCCAACAGCATGCAGGACTACACAACTCTCATGATCCCCCAGCTAATGGGGGAGACAGTCTAGCAACGTAACAATTCCAGACTCTTCTCCAATCATGCTAGAACTCAGAGACGCAGCACAGAATTGATAGGCAGCAGATTCGGCACACGTCTCCAATGCATAATTGACTTTTGGAACACTCTTCCAGAAAGACTGATGCCAGCATAAGTGCTGGGCTAAAGCTTTAGCCTAGGGATTACAGACTGACCAGGTTGTGGCGTCTTGAGGCAATGGACATGGTTCTAAATCATTTTATACTACAATGCTGTCTGCATCCCAATGTGAGATAATAATATAATTTTAATCTTAGAACGGCAGAGCTGGAAGAGACCCTCTGGATCATCAGGTCCGGCCCTTCTCTAGGACGCCCAGTAGGGGAATCGAACTTTCAACTTCTGTCTCTGCAGCCAGAGATCAAAACCATTGAGTTCCTCCAGCCGTTCATCTTTCAAAATAGTTAAAATACATGAGCAGTAGAACGGGCTGCTGGCTTTTTGTGGCCTTAAAGACGACTAGTTTCAGGATGAGGGACTGGGTGGGCTTGGAGAAGATGCCCTCCGTGGGGCCCCTCCCATCTTTTGCCCCAAAGGCCTGCCTCTCCCTCTTGACCCCAGGCAGCAGCAGCAGCAGCAACAACATCCCCTCCTGGAAACGGCGGCGGCTGAGGGACAAGACAAGAGTGGCTTACGTTTCGGACGTGGCCGGTGGTGGTGGAGAGCTCTTCTAGAAGATCCTGCAGCCTCTCTCTGTTCCTGCCACACAGCACCAGTTCTGACCCGGCTGCATGGAAAGCTTTGGCACATTCTTGGTGGGAAATAAGCAGGAAAGAGAAAGACAGAATGAGAACACACCCTATTGAAAGAAACCTGGTCTCTCTGTCCCTTTGTAGATAGAGCAGCATTGGTTTTTGAAGAGGATCTGCACCATTTGTGTAATGCCTAAATCCAGCTCTTTGTCCCAACTATAACAGACCGGCTGAATCAATGATCAGGCAGTGAATCGATGTTTACATAAATCCTGCTGAATCCATCGGTCTGCTGTAGCAAGGATTACCAACTGGATTCAGGCTGTGGAGTCTGTTTCGTTTATTTACGGCATACACAACCTGCAAGGAGGCTAACGCTAGAATAAAAGACACACTGTAAAAGATGGAACTCAAACAAAAATGCAAATTGGTTGAAAACACAGCAATAAAAGAGAAATAAAGAAATAACATCTCTTTCTGCTAGCCCTCTAAAACAGCCATTCTCAACAGAGCAGGGGGGCCTGGCCCATTTGAAGGGGGCCACAGGCTGGAAACAATTCTTCAAATACCACCCTGTAAGGTTCTTTATGCAATGGATATGGTCCTGATTCAGCCTACATTTCTTTCATACTGTGTTTATGGTTGCGACCAAAAAAAGGTTGAGAACGGCTGGTCTAAAAGCCCAAAGCGTTGTCTGAATAAAAACCATATTTGCCTGCTCGTGGAAGAAGACGGTGGGTGGGTGGGTGAGTTCAGCCTGGGAACAGCCACCAAGAAAGTCTTCTACAGAGTTTCTTCAAACTTGGCAGAGAAGCTTCTGAGACTTGGTTTTAATTTCCACATTAAGAAATGTTTCCTTTCCCCTGGCCAGCTTTCCATGTTTTGTAGGCAGAAAACAACTTTGTCGTCCTTACTTTCAAGGAAAGCTTTTTAAAAAGATGGGCAAGTATTTTTTTCCCCTCTATGATATACTCTGTGGTTCACGTTTTTTCCTACCAGGACACGTTGTGTTACTCCACACCCACGGGACTGATAGATCGCACAGCAGCCCCTTCTCTCTCTCTCTCTCTGGTAACCAAAGAACGCTTTGTGGGCCTTAAAGGCTGGGCTGCTGTGCCCAAGCAGGTGTGTCACCAAGAATAAATAGCACAGAGAGAAAAGAGATGGCATGAATTTAGCGTCTGTGTCTCAAGCCACGAAACGTCTAGATCCAATGGGTTATGGTTGGAAAGACAAGCCACCGAGGCTGAAAGGATTACTTTCGGTTTGATCCCAAGAACAAAATAAGGATTCCCCCCACCACAAAGGGAGATAGATGAACATTTTTGCCCTGACCGCCCAGTTCCAGGGACACCATCCCTCCCCTCTGCAATGCGAGGTTTCTCTGAACCCACCTTTTCCAAGTCCAGAGGTTGCTCCCGTGATCACCACCACGGCATCCTTGAGGTAGGCTTTCGCCCGCATCCGCCGGAGTAGCCGGAAGAGGCCAAAGACCCCCAGGCTGCCAAAGAGCAGCGGAAGAGCAACAGTAGAGGTGATATCCATAAGTTTTCCCTTATGGCCGTGCCTCCTAGATTTACAAGAAACGGACAGGGCAGGGATAGGTTAGGTGGGCAGCCGCAAATCTCCTACTTCATCGCTTTTCACATGCAACAGAACCAACCCAGTTTAGTTTTCTTGAGACATGTTATTTTGCAACGTTCTGCGCCGTTAATAAATGAGGGTCAAGGAGACAGCTGGCCAAATGGCCTTTCGGTCTCTTTTGCTGCCATCCACCCACTCCTTCAATCACAAGCTCCTCAAGCAGAAAAACGATTACGGCCACAAGGAATCCAACCGTTCTATTAGGGAAGCCAATATTCAGATGCAGAGCCATGCACTAGATCAGGCTAAACCAGGATTGCTCGGGGGCACCCAGTAAACAGATTCTAACCCCACCCCGTGTGCTGTCGGCGTGCCAAAAATAACAAAACGGAGTTACAGGGACAGACAGATGGGTACACGTGACTATTTGGTGGGTGATTGTCTCTGATAGATTTTGGTGCAAGGCCCCCCTTACAAACATGCCTGGTTGTTAAGATCTTAGGTCAAGGCTCTGGAGTGAAAAGGCAGTAACTGGAGGTGGGGAACGTTGCCTTCTCTGTGCTGGCACCCAGGCTTTGGAAGGTGAAGGTTCCCCTTGACATTTAGTCCAGTCGTGTCCGACTCCAGGGGGTGGTCCTCATCCCCGTTTCCAAGCCACAGAGCCAGCGTTTGTAGAGTTTCCGTGGTCACGTGGCCAGCGCAACTAGACACGGAATGCTGTTACCTTCCCACCGAGGTGGTACCTATTTATCTACTCGCATTTTTACATGCTTTTGAACTGCTAGGTTGGCAGGAGCTGGGACAAGTGACGGGAGCTCACTCTGTCGTGTGGGTTTGATCTTATGACGGCTGGTCTTCTGACCTTGCAGCACAGAGGCTTCTGTGGTTTAACCCGCAGCGCCACCATGTCCCTTGAGGCTTTGGAAGTCCTTCTTAAAACATAATTATGTGGAGTTTGCATTTGAAGACCAAGAGAAAACTCTCTCGCTCTTTGTAAACTGAGGATCTGTTGTTTTCTGTGTTGTTTTAAGTTGTTCTTTGGCTAATATACCGAGCTGGCAGTTTGCTTATATTTTACTGTAAGTCAAGAGGAGAGACCTTTTTGAGCCTCAGGTCTGAATTCAGTTTCAGAGAAAATGTTGGGAAGCCACATTCATGTTTCGAGCAGCACCCAAGGCAAAAGGACAGGGCTCAAGTATCTACATATATTTCAACCTGCATTTCTTATTCCTAGCCCCCCAAGCATGGAGAAAAATGCAGCAATGTTTTAGAAGGAGAGGGAAGTTCCATATAAAAGCCAAGAAATGCCACTGACTCTGCAAGGTGTGTAAATCAGTCAATGCTTCCTTGTGCAAGTAGGCTTATTTTGCCCTGGATCCCACTTACACAAGAGGAGCGGAGAGAACTCTTGCTCCTGTAAGCCATCATCTTGATCCTCCCTGGCTTCTGAAATTTCAGAATGCCTTGCTCAAACATGTTCAGGTCTACAGGCTTGTGTATGTGTGTGCTTGTTTAGAGAGGGTGCAGGTATGGAGAGAAAAGAAGTGAAGGTTCCCAAAGCGTCGAATTGCCTGCCTCCAAGGGTGCAAGTCAGCACCTGTGTTATGATCACAGCTCATGGCACACTGAGCCATCGGTCTAACCTGCTGTATCATGCTCCTATCTTGCAGAAACCAAGACTCCGTGGTGCGGCTTTTGCTTTGCACACGCTGACATGTCAGAAAATCTCCACTCCAGGAGATTTTTCTCGGTCTGAGATCCTGGAGAAGGTGAGCTGGTTCGAAAAGAATACGCCTCACTCCCTGACCAAGCCAGTGTAAGGGCCACAGGACAATGGCCGGTACGGAGTCACACAACGCAGCCCGTGGGATGGCCCTGCTTGAGTCTCCGGTGGTGTCACTGACCAGCCACAAAGTCAACACACACTTTGAGAGCTCTCCGCCACCACTTCTACAGCAGCCTCAAGCTTCGGGTTTGTTCTAAGTGTTGACATCTAAAAGGAAGGTGCATCCTGATGATCTCCTTCTCCCAGATATCAGGACGCAAGGTTATTTTGGTGTATAAAGGTTCGCCAGAGGGTGGGGCCTCTTATCACACATGTGTATCCAGAGGGCAACCGAGGTCAAAGGCCACAGTTGCTTGTCCCTGGCCTACCGTCTTCGGAATAGCCGACACTGAAAGAGCAGGCAGGTCCCACATAGGACAGCTGCTCTTTAAAAACAGCAGAATCACCCAAGCGCTACAGGAAACAAAAGGAGGAAAAAGCCTCTAAGGGCTAACTATACATCACATAAGGTGTGTTTGGAGGCTGTACATAAAAGCCAAATGATCATGTCAGGAGGGTCGCCAACTAACTTGGGGGGGGGCTGAAGAAAACCGGGGTGGGGGTGGCAACTGAAAGCCTGGGGAGGTCACCTGCTGCTCCAGCATTCCCTGTGGCCCCTCCCTACCACTGGCTTGCTTGCTGGTTCTGTTTTCAGCATCTTAGAATTGCAAAGCTGGGAGGGATATTATGGATCCTGGGAGTTCAAACTCCGCAGTCAGCCAGAGACCTAAACCATTGAGCTGTCCAGCAGGTCTTGGCTCAACAGACTTAATCTGTGTTGGCTGGGATTTTCTTTGGCAGAGGAATATTACCCTCTTCCATTCCTTGTACAAAAACACGTTGGGGGCGACTCTGATGACCCTTTGGACATGCCATTTCCTCCTTTCTTACTCTTCCCACTCTGCCTCTTGTTCTGACACTATAAAGTCCCCGAGTTTGCTATTAAGGGAGCAGAGGTCAAGACAGAACAATCCCAAAATCAGATTTAACTGTGAATAGTAAACTCCGTTTCACCCGAATATCAACTTGTGCATATTTAAGAGTATCGCAAATATGAGACAAACTCCGATCAAAGCAGAGGCCAGCCACATATGACAGGTAAGACGGGGTGGGGGATGGAGAGAGCGGCAAACCACCTTGAGAACAGCCGTGTGCTGGTGAGACAAGTCTCTGGATCCACGGTCAGAGAGAGCACCTTACCATACTCTGGGACGCTTGACTCTGGAGAAAGGTTTGGCCCACCTATACATGGTGCCAGGTTAAGGAATTCCATTCCGCCGGTTCAGACACTTACATTCTCTATGGGGAGAGCGGTCTATCAGAAACAGAAACTCAGAACACAGGAGGAAAACCTTAAACGTTGTTTGTTGCAGGCTGTGGGACTTTTCTGATACCGCCATGCATAAAACAAACTACTTCCATTTCACACCGTGTTGAACACTGAATTACTCAGACGGCTTGGCAAATGAACCATGCTCAGTTTTTTTGCATTTCTGGTTTATGCGAGGAAATCAAATCAGTTGCTTGCAACAGCGGAGAGCAAACGAGAAAATAGGGTTTGATTGATTAATTACCAGGCATCAAGGAAAGGCCAAGTATTGGTACCTTCCAAAATGAAGCACTTTTAAAGCCCATTGATTTCGAGAACATGTTCCGCATTCCCAAGACGCCAGGGGCCTCTAAATGCTTTTATCTTTCAGGCCCTGGTACCGATGTCCTTCAGCCCTGGCCAGGGGAACCTCTGCCCCTCCTGTTATAATTGCACTTCAGTTCCCATCAACCTCTGACTGATGGTAAGGGATGATGGGATTGGCAGCTCATCAAAAAGGATTTCAACACAGCAAAAAAAAGTGGTTCAAAGAGAAGGGAGACCAAGGCACAAATTCTGGCTATTTGCAAACAGTGAAAAGCATACTGAAAGTCAAGGTGACAGGATCCCCGTGTCTCGGAAGAGTGGGTCTCTTACAGCAGCTCGCTCTGGGTACCTTCACGCTAGCGAGGAGCCTGGGGTTTCATCATTTGCAATATGGAGATTGTCCATACTGGCCTATCTGATAAAAACCACTGTAGCAGTTCTAGAGCAATGGGTCCCAAGATTGGGTCCCAAGATGTTCTTGGACTGAACTTCCCAGAAGCCTTCACCACTGATGGTTCTGCTCAGGATCTCCGGGAGTTGCAGTTCAAGTACACCTGGGGACCCAAGATTGGAAAGCACTGCAAGAGAACGCGAGTGTTCAGAGCTTATCCAGTAAAAATGCACAGGATGCGTGATAGCTATATATTATGATTAATGCCTAGATACAGACCTAGGACAGAACTCTGTCCCACAGTGAGATATTGGTGTTCACTCTTGCAATGGAGGTGGCATCAACTCATCACTTAGGCTCCTAAGCACTGGACCAGTGACACTGACACAAGCCTTTGTTGTGTGTTTTAAAGTTGCCCAAGCCCTAAATTATTTGTATGTGGTGGTGAGAGAGCAGAGAAAATGATTGTCACTCAACGCCCTCAAAACTGCCTCTTTGCTTACATGGTGGTTTGGGAGCAGCACAGAACATAGATTTGAATGGGCAAGATACTATATCTTACCACTGCACTTGTCTTCCTGACATTTTAAACTGGCTAATTACATGGCTGAATATGGCCGGGACTATTCATGGAACACACCTCCGTCTTGATTTACATGCATCTAAGTCAGCTCATGTCCGCACGTGTGAATTGTATGCCTTTTCTTCCTAAGGTACTGAGATAGAGGTATAAGGCTAAAGGCAATTCCTTTTACAAAAGGAACAGTAACAGTTAATAAATAGATGAAAAGGGGGGGGGGGACAACACTTATTCTGCTAATTCCAACCTGCTTAAGCTGATCTTCTCAGGTAGTGAAGCTGAACGGAATGCACTGAATTTATATCTAAAGCAGCCCCGGCTACAATCAGATGTTCAAGGTTTATGCCCCTCTGTTCTCCATTTTGGAACAATCAGATATAGTATTGTTGATACTGAGACATCCAAAAGCAATCGTATTTTTTTAAGAAAAATGGAAGCAGAGAGAGGCAGATATCGGAGAGCTTAGAGGCACCATCAGGAAAAAAAAAGAAAGAAATACCAGAAGCCCAAACCCACTCGCCTTTCTCCATTTGTGTAAAAATAGCGCAAGGCCTTGTCAGGTCACCACCACCCCACTCCCGCAGCGTGAAGCTTGTGCAAGATCATACCTTTCTGAAAAGAACTCCCTTTGCCGCAGCATGTGGCACGCTGGTGTCAGTCTCCGATGGGTAAACCGAGGGGCTGGCCCATTTGAAGCGGGAGACAACCAGCTGCTAAGCTGCCACGTTCAGTCCGACAGCGGCACAAGCGGGGAAGGCTGGCCTCCAAGCCTTGGGAACACTCTGTAGCATTCCAACAGAACGAGGGGAGAACTGGGAGGGGGAATCCCGAGGCCTGCCTTTCTGCCTGTGTGCCCCTCTGCCTAGGCTGTGCCTGTCCAAGGCAGAACTGTGCTGGGATGAAGGAAATGGCATTAGCTGAAAGCCCAGAAGCAGAGTGGGTTGCTAGCAGGTGAGCGCTGGCCACTTGTTCTTACGCCACGTCTACCTCCTGTCCTGCCCCGGCTGCAGCAAACAGATAAAACGGTCCCGGAACAAGTTGGGCTGTTTATCCATCTGTTCCCAGGACTGTCTACTCATTCAGCGGCTCTCGTTCACAGCGTCTTCCTGCATGGACCCCCTGAGATCCTCTTTACCCAGAGACAGGGTGGATTTGATTTAAATCACGATTTAAATCACTAGTCAGTAATACTTGATTTAATCATGATTTTTTTTAATGTAAAGGCTCATTCTGTCTGGTAGTTTATTATCTTTAATATTCGCAACCAGATGAAGATTTCATATTTAGATTAATAACTTGTCAGATGAGGAAATCAGCTACATCAGAGCAGATTTTAGTTTAATAGGTTTATCACACATATTTGGAGAACTACTTAAATTGTTTTATTTAGCTAAAACAATAACATTATATAGCATAAACATTCTTGTATTTGCTTAAACATCACTGTGTTCACTGTTCATACATAATTTGTAGAACAACAATGGGAATACAGTCTTTTCCTGAACTGGTTGATTTTATAGCATTTTTGCTGTGAAAAAGTGCACGTTCTCTCAGCTTGGATAACTTGGATTCATGGAATTGATTTACCATGGAATTGAATTAATTTACCAAAAATGTGAACACTACATGAATATACCACTTCATGCTACATAACTAAATTCTATTTTATGCTGAATAACCTTCGAACTATAATGCATCTTAAATAGAAAACTATCTTTAGATAGTTTTTTTCTCTAAAAGTATTTGACTAAAATAAATCTGATTTAAATATTTAAAATCCAATTTACATTTTTAAAATCCAGTTTCTTCAATTTTTTTTTAAAAAATCACTGATTTTAAACCAAATTATTTTTATAATCCAGTTTCTTCAATTTTTTTAAAAAATCACTGATTTTAAACCACCCTGCCCAGAGATGCCAGGTGCTCAGCTCTACCTGTGCTCTGCCACTGTAACCTGAGTCCTCTTGCTGAATACAACAACATTTTCATAAAGGTACTAACAAATCTCAATTCCACAAACCCTTTTTACAAGCTTGCCTGTCCATGCATCCAAATTTAGCTATGCATGATGAACAGGAGTCCTTTTCGAAGGATTTTGAGGCAGTTCTTATTACTCGTTGGCCATCAGGTAAACATTTATTTACAGGCACATGATATACAAACTAAACCACATACTCAATCTCGGGGTGAACTTGGATTGCACTGCATAAGAACATAGCGCTTTTGCTTAGAAAAAAATCCTTCCCATCATCTTTGACATCACTACACATGGCTCAGTTCCCGTTTGTGGCCATCACTGGCAGAACTCCCATTAATCTGTGCAGAGTTGGACTGTACTAATAGGTGCTTAAAGCTTCAAAACTGCTGCAGCTACCATCTTCCAGATGGACGTTCTGCTCTTGCTCGGCAGGCTAAATTTAGCTCTACGCTTGACCTGTTGGTCAGGTTCTGTTCTGACGCGTGTCCCTCCATCCTTCCCTGCAAAAACCTGTGGTTGGCGTGGAAGAAGCCACTCAAGGCAAACAACATGGTACTGGAATTAGAACCACAGAGCTGCAGCTACAGCATCCTGGTAGACTTAATTAGCCCAACCCTGACCAATACAGGAAATTTAGAACTACAGCACATCCAACATTTGCCCAGCCTCTGCCTGAGGCTCCCCACTGAAGGAGAGCCTAATCAAAATCTCTGGTTCAACCATACAGCTGGTCTTATCATCAAGGCATATCTCCGAATGCTCTTTCTAAACCTACCCCACTGTAATTTAAAGTCATGAGACCTAGATTTTTCAGCATGCAAAGAACAAAATCGTTGTCCCCTTGCAAGCAAGAACCTTCAGGTATATCAGGAGAGTTAAAATGTCCGTCCTATTTTCTCCAGGCTGAACACTCTCAGTTACTCTGCTACAGAGAAGTCCTTGCACATTCTTTCTTAACTACAGTATTCCTCTCTTAACTAACTGAATTTTTGTGACACTGACAGGTAAGCCACCTGCTCATCTTCCATGCTGCTAGTTCTCCACAGTAATACATTTGGAGAAAGTGTTATTGACTAACTCTTCATCCTCCATTGTCTGAGCTTAAATGGCCAATAAAACCCATCGTTTATTTCCCAAACATCCTTTCAAGCACCTGCAGAACTGTGCCACTTTTCACCAACATGTTATATAACATGCGTTACGCAGCGGATGATTCAGTGTGTCAAGACATAACAAGCACCTACTTGTAAAACAGGAAAAACAGACAATGGATAAACCTTCAGAGAATTCCCAAACTGGATCATTCATAAACTCATTTCCCCCCCATAGATGTCTAACCCACGCCTTCAGGAGACGTAACATCCCAATTAAAGCAATGTAAAAACAAGTTTGAGGCTGCATAGCCGGTTTCATTAAATAAGCATAACCTATATGACTTGGCATCCAATTTCAGAATCAAGAGATATTTATGTAGAAAAGGGTTCTTTAACTTTATAGTCCTATACATGTTACAGTTTGGGAGCCAGCTCTGTTGAACCTCAAGAGATTTCTGGTCAACATAGTTAAGAGCAGGCTAAAAAATGATGAGAGGAAGCATATTTTCTAGAAAGTTAAAGCCTACTAAGTTGAGTAGGGCAGCGGTGGGGGAACCTGGTACCTTCCAGGATATATCTTTGAATAAACATGATTACAATAGAGCCAGGAAAATCCTCTATTATTAAGAATAAACCTAATTTTGTGTCTGTGCATCTCTGTGTATGTACAATTACTAGACCGTTGCAATCCCATACCCATTTACATGGAACTAAACCCCACCGAAAAGTCTGACTTCAGAGTTGAAATGTCTAGAACAACACCGTCACAGTGGGAAAGAATCATTGGAAAACAGGCCGGTGGCTGCTGGAATAGCTCATATATAACACGGGCAGGTGATATGGAAACCACACCTCTTCCCCAGAAATCATCCTCCCCAACTTCTCCTTAAATAGGGTCACAGCCCCCTCCCCACAAAGGTCCCAGGCATTTCCTGTCCCCAGACATTTTTTTTACCAACTCCTTGCCCTTCTATATTTGGTGAAAGGCTGTCTCCCCCCCCACACACACTCTGTGTTACAGGCTGGGATGGCGAGCTGACTAGCCACTTCCCGGGTATCAACCTATAATCAGGGCACCCAGAACCCACAGGAACCTCCTCACCCAACTAACGTCACCTTATATAACCTGCTTTCCCTTTTCCATTCATTTTTATCCTACTCTTCCCAACTGCTGGCTGAGGTGTCTGAAATCATACCCCCCATCCCTCCAACAACCCTTTTGCAGACCACTTCTGTATCCACCTCAGAAAGCTCACTAAGGCCCCAAGCAACGGCCACGGACCTTTGGGACTCTAATACAAAGTCATATAATAATTTTCTGAACACAAGAACTTGGGCCACAGCCTGAGAAGGAAGGCAAGGCATTGCAAGCCCCCCTTCTGTTGTATACCTGATTATTAAAAGCAATCTAAGAAGGGTGTCGCCTGCTCCTGCATTTGCATTCCTCTAGAAAGCTTATTTATCCACGTCCTTAATTTATTCACACCCCACCTTTGCTCCCAATGAGGAACACAAGCATTTGACAATTTTGGGGAGTGAGTGAGAAATAAGGGGGAATACAGGTATAACTAGTTCAGGGCAGCTGTCTGGGCTGCTTCTCTGCTGCTGCTGCTGCCTTATTTCGTACAACAACCCGACGAGGCAGGGTAGATAAGGGGGGATCTGAACCCCAGACCCAAGGACTGGCTCTAACCACTAGACCCCCACTGCCCCTGAACTCCCGGGGCCAGCCTTTGCCCTCCCTCCCTCTTTTTCCCTCGCCCAGCGGGCGTGACAGAACCGAGGCACGGACCCCTACTCGACCCTTCCCCGCCCCCGCCATGCCGCCCCACACAGCCCAAGAACTACCTGGCAACCACGGTCACCATGACCACGCACCCGGAAGCGAGGGCACCGTTTCCTTTTTTTTTCCCCTCTTTCCTATCGCCCCCTCCCCGCTGGTCCAATCAAATCAGACCTTTTCCCTCTTAGGCGGAGCTATTAGGGAAGCGGCCAATAGGAAGCAAGCACCGGCCGAAGGAACGAAGAAGCAACGGACCAATGGAGGATCGGTCCGCCAATATTTAGCTTCCCCCCCACCCCCGAAAATCTAGGTTTTTGGTATAAAGTTCCGCCTTTATACCAGTTAGTTAAAGCAGGTGCCCAAACACAAGATAATCATGCATTCTTTCTTTCTATCTATCGATGATGCGGGAGACATTCAGTGGAGGGGTCCCTGGGTTTATAAAATCCTTAAATGGTTTTCCTCCCTGGATGGGACCAGATTAACACTGAGCTATTTTAATCCCTAGAATAACATTCGGATACTGGATATAATCTCAAATATTCAATACAAATGTAAGGGTAGGCGATACCTTTATTAAACCACTAACAAAAAAATCAAGCACATAGCTAGTTTTCACAGCTTCACGTTTGTTATCAGCCCCATCTCATGGGGAGGATGCAGTCATCAGCACAATTATCTTTACCTGGTGATTTATGGCTTTCTACTTTCTCCATGGGCTTCAAGGCGATATGAATTTCAGCATATTTCATCCTACTAAACCAGCATCATCCGGAGAACTTCATAGCTGTAGCAGGAATTTAAACCTGGACTTTAAAGTCGTCAGAAGCTTTCGTCAAGCTAGTAAAAACAAAAAAAGAAGGAAGGAGGATGAAGAAAAAGCATAGGCGGAGCAAGGAGAGAAATGTCTCATGTCTGCCACTTGCCAGACTTCTAGAATAGTCTGCAGGTAGCCCATCCTTGACGAAAAAGGTTTTAAATATACAGTAGAA